CAAATTCTGGCTAAAATTTCGACTTTTGATTTGGAGAATGTAATTCTACAGGATGTGGCACTTGTAATGTTTATGTAAGTTTTATATTTTATTTTAAATTTTACATACTTACCTATACTTACCTGTACTTACCTGAAATACTTACCTTTTTCGCCATTGCTTATGTAGTATTTTTTTTTTTTTTTTTTACTGTTTCCTTATATCTAATTTATACTTACCACTTATACTTACCTGTAAATGCTATTAGAATTGCGTGGATGTCTCATGTACAATTGTGATTTGCAGACCTTAGAAATCTGAGAACATATGTAAAATCATATATATTATATTTAGAAGCATTAATTTTGTAAAATTATAGAGACGATATGCAAAAACAGAAATATTAATCATTTACTTACAGATATTTTATCTCTGGCAGTTATTTTATCTCTGTAAATAATATATAATATATAAGACATAATGGAATATGGTTGGAAATAATTATTATACATTTTTAGAAATTTATTAAATGTTTCATTGATTGACTCTACATAATATGTTGAATTTTTAATGTACATGTATATATAAAGTTAATAGTAAATATATATATATGTATATATATAAAGTTTTACAATTATGTAATTGTTTATTAGAGTTTTAACGTATTATACGAATGTGTTTTATGTAATCCCAATTTGCAGAAATAGTGGTAGTATATAATATACATATGATTATTTTGTTGTTGTATCACTTCCATTATCATGAATAGATTTTTTCATTAAAACATTTATTAATATCTTCAATTAATAGTATATATTCTCTATTTACATCATGTATTGTTTTCTATGAATTCTTATTACGTATATTTAATTTACAATAAGAAATTAGTGAAATGAATCTTTTTATTGCTATATTACTTATTAAACTACGGATTTTTATGCAAATGCATATAAATTATATAACATGTTTTGCATAAGTACAAGACATGTGTACAGATTTTAAACTATTCGTAATATGTTTTAGATTTTGTCTTTTAATTTATTGAAAAGCGATTAAAATATCTTTGAGCAAAATTGTCTTAACTTAAATTTGAAGCTTGATAAAACCGTTTTAAAATTTTGAACGGCTATAATTCCGAATCTAATTTTCGATCAACGAATGAATAATCGAAACGAATAAATGGGAAGAATGGAACTTTCCTCTTTAAAAGCACTTTTGATTTATGTCGACACGACTTCAGATTCCCTAGATACAATCTAGGGAAAGTCTAAAGAAAAGATAGGATTTTTAATTACTCATCGTTTAAACGATTATGTACAAATTAAGAAAACTTTGAACCGTTATCACTCTGAAGATAATGACTTCTGGTCGACAAGTGAACGATTATTGGAAACGCGAAATCTTCCCCTTTAAAATGTCGTTTCATTCGTCTCGATTCTCGGTTTTTGTGATTTTTTCGTGTAAAGAGAAGTATAACTTTTATTGTTACGTAAAATTACTCTTATTACGTAATTTTATTACTATTTCTGCTCTTATTGCTTATTCGAATCTCTTGCTCGCGCTTTATCTCATTGACTTATCCTAAAGTCCAGACAAGTAACAGACGTCCATTCCTGGAAAAGCGTAGTACACATTTCCAAGAAATAAAGTAGGTCAATGGATCCATTCATGAATTATGCACAATCTTAACTATACAAAGGAAAATACTAGCCCTTATGTCTTGATGATCGATTGAGATATCGAGATGAATCAAAAAATGATTTTGAGGATTACATCCATATTCTAAATGCGTTTTAATGATATATAATGATATAATGCTAATTGAATTTTTGTTTGAACACGTTTTAGCTGTATAAAAATCCGCAGTCTAATTTATTACTATCACAGTTAGACAAAACCTTCGGTTTCTCGAAATGATAATTGAGATGAAATTACAAAAGTTTGTAATGTAGATGAAAGGAGCATTCGTTAAAACGATAAACGTATCAGTAAACACAGTTTATTTCGATTTTATTTATTATATTTCTTTTCATCATCATTCAATATTAAAATTGCATTTGATTTACGTATTTCCGGAGGAATATTACAGAAGATACATATATTTTTAATTTTAAAATCACTTTGACATCAATATAATTAATTAAGTGAATAACAAAAGATAAACATAGCGGCAGAATATAACAGAATATAACGTTGTCACTTAATTTATTGCAAAATGTCAGATTTAATATCAACTCGAACCATGGACCTCGAACTAAAAACGGTCATAACGTAATAAATGCTTTTTAATGAAGTTATAATAAGCATGCACGATTTTTGAATAAATAAAAAAATATATATATATATATAAATTTAAATTGAATAACAAAAGCATTAAAACACGAAGCGTGCGAGTTACTGAAAAAAAAAGTTGTCGATAAGAAAAGTTTAATTAAGTTTGATACGTCAAATTATACGAAATATCACGTGTATTAATTACACGTTGCATATAAATTATATAGATGTATATCGCATAAGAGTTTTTCATAAATATATATGTAAATGTAAATAAAAAATTGGATACAATTTTTAACAATTTAATCGAAGAGAATAATTAAACAGAAAGACTTGAATAAATATATTTTGATCGTAACGAAGGAGTGACGGGAAAATATGAAAGGTATAAACTTTTATACTTACTCGATAATTTTTTTGAAGAAGAGAATGCATCTAAAGGAAAATGTATTTCAACGAAAAAAATTGTGTTTACTGATTACTAATTAACGATATGTACTTTTCATTTCAAGTTTTTTTTTTTATATATATATATCATTTATCAATCTTCCATCGTTCAAAAGTTTATAATTTTGTAAAAATTATGCGATAAATAAATAAGGATAGCTTAATCTATTATCTTCAGATATTTTTATTTTTTTTCTACAATTCGTCGATGAATTTTTAATGACAAATATCCTTTCGATTAATTATTCATTGTTTATTATTTATTCCTTAACAATTAAATGTTTCTTACATCTCTTAAGACTAAGTCAACAAGTTTCACTTTCTAAATTGTAGCAAGAAAATTAAGCAAGTGGATTATTGCAATTATAATAACAAATGTATAATCACAAATGTATTTGTGAAACTTATACGTATAAAAACATTTAACAAATCGCTCGAATTTTTTAACACTTTGAGTCACTTTTTTTTTATATTAATCTCATTCTCAAGTATCATTTATTTCTCGATATCTTCTAATATATCTCTAACAAATAAATATCTTGATATCTCTCTAAATAAATAATGTAACAATATTTTATCGACCATTTTTTATTTCACATTGTCTTGGAACGATTTAATAAATTGTTGTATCTTGGATGTATCTTGAATCAGATCTATCTTTGATGAAATGACTTAAATGACACGATAATGGAAAACATGGTAGAAGGAAACTTGTTAAGATCGAACTTGCTAAAAGCTATATCGAAACCTATTTTCTCGTCTGAATTGCATTTTACAAGCTTCTTTAAATTAAAAAAAAAAAAATCTTCCTCGGCTTCGATCAATTTTACATCGCATTTTATGTAATATAATTCTAAACTGAAATTGATTTTAATCATTAATCATATTGAAAGAAATTAAATATATTAGTATAATACAGTGACTGCATAAATGTTTAACAACACGACGATGTGTGCAATGCATACGTAAATTTTGCATAATTAATTCGCACGGATAATTGTTGAACCGATTTATTTATATAGAAAAACTAACAATTTTGTTAAATTTCATAAATGCACAAAAACATATTTATATAATAATTACGATTGATTGCTTTGGTCGATTGTGATTATTTTTATTGGACGGAAACTTCTTATGCGTTACGTTTTTTTATATTATTATTATAATATATTACATGAACATGATCAATTTTCTCTTAGTAAATAAATTAATCTCTTAATAATTTAAAAACATTTTCAGACTAGCTGAAAAATATTTTTCGTAGAAATTTTTCTATTAAAATGCATATTTATACTCTAGTGAAGCTCTAAAAAGAACAAAAAAAAAAATAAATAAATAAATAAATAAAAGAACATTAAAACGCATCATAAAAAAGAGAGAATATGCATATTATTAGTTCTTTATCCGTCGTATTGTATTTTGTTTCATATTATACCATGAAATTATATAAAATAGATAAATATTGCATTACGTATATAAATATTACGTATCGAATAAACGTTCCCCCGTTATCGAAATTATTTATCTCTCGAAAAACATATTCAATTCCAAATAAATCTATCCCTCGTTGAAAAAACTATATCATTTTACGAACGAAATAAAAAAAAGACTTAAAAAAATATTTTAAATCTCCATGAGTAATGTTCTTTTTCATACGAAAAAAAAAAAAAAAAAAAAAANNNNATGATGATAATTTGCATCTTTCGTAATTTCATAATTTTTATAATCGCAAAAAAAAAAAAAAAAAAAAAGATTCTTTCGTTCGCATCCTATTTCGTCTACCAAGACTCAAAGGGTTAAAAACGATTTACCCTTCCCAAAAAAAAAAGAAAAAAAAAAATGTTCTTCAATTGTATTATTATCTTGCTTTATTGAAAATCATATCATAAATTCGGACGACGAGACTTACAATTTAATTACGAGATCGCGCCGCCATCTTAGTCGTAAAGGAAATTAAGATTGTCGACGCAGGATGATCGCGACGAGGAACGGTGCAGATCGTTAACAGAGAGGCATTTCCCTCCAGAATAGAAAGGAACTCTGTCCGTGGATGGACGCCAAGATATCTTTAAGAAGAAATCGTCCTGCTCGTTACCGGTATGGGACAAAGAAACGTTTGGTCTCGTATTCTCAGTGAAACACACGTTCTGCCTATACTAGACGCGGTCCTCCTCCTCCAACAGCCGTACTACTTCTGGAAACAAAGTAGTTTTCCTTTGATCATCGACAGTAACAGTAATATCCGTACAATTAATACAATTAAAGGAATTGATTTGATCAATCGAACGTCTTTCGGGGACAATTTTATCTTCTCGGCTTTGTTGAAATTGAGAAGAGTGACTTAGAGAATAATGACTTGGTAGAAACAAAATATCTCTAATTATAAGACCAATGAAAATTTATATTTATCTATCGTATCTATTTGTTGAATGAATAAAATGATTTATATATATATATTCTATTTATTATTATTAATCGATATCAATGGCGTTAAAATTAGTGGAAATATTTGGATAATTGAACGAGATAACGCGATTAGAAAATTACATCGAAACGAAATCGATCGAATTCATTTACACGTTCCTTTCATCCCTTTTATTGCTTTGCTTCTGTACAAAGTTTCCAGTGAGTCTACAACGCGTATATCATCGAGCAATCATTTCTTTCCTTCTTTTCTTTTTCTTTTCTCTTTTTCCTCGACGAGATATCAATCAAGACAAGATTACCTGATCTGGTGGCGAGGGAAGCTTTTCCAAGATAAACTGCCGATTCGTTTCCGCTTAGCTCGCTGTTGTTCCCCGCTTGGGCGGCATTTCTGGTCGACGCCATCGCGATATCGCTGTTTCTACACCCCACTCTGTAAAATATCGGAACGGAAATTTTCGCGCGTGAAAAGAATGTTGAAACGATAATAAAAATTCCTCGATTTATATCTATCGATTTATATCTATCGATTTCTATCTATCGAAAATCGAATTGGAAAACTCGGCCGAACTGGACATTTCGGGATAATAATTTCGTCGCGAAATTATCCGCAGAAACATCGGATTGAATTGAAGGGATATATCTCGTTGCGATCGCCCATCGTTTTCGATTACCGTTTCGATAAACACCGCTTTGTCTTTGAATTTTAATTGGTGTACTTACCTGTATTGTTTAACGTTTTCGGGGAACAAACAAAATTGTTTCATTACTCGTCCATTTATAATATACGTTTGATCAACGATCAACTCGTGTTGCCGTTATTTGATCGTTATTCCATCGTTCGTCCATTTGCTCGTATGTTCCAACTCGCAAACTTTGAACTTTGTGTATCGAATCATTTTTTTTGATACCGACGGAAGCGTTAAGAGTAATAATGCTGCGCGAAAAATTGGCGTCTCGTCCAAGGGGTGGCAACACCCCTTCGCAATTTCATATAAACTATATATATATCGATACTTCTCAATTTTTTTTCTTTTCTTCTTTTTTTTTTTTCGAATCCCTCCTTTTCGCAACAATCGAACAACGAAGCTCCCTCGTGCGAAGCAAACCGAGGGAAAAATTGGGGAAAAATTGAATACAGAGGAGGGTAAACAAGGATCCAAGAGTCGATCAAAGAAAGAGAGAGAGAGAGAAAGAACTCTGTCTAATAAAAAAAAAAATTTATAATTCGAGGGTCGTGATCCGTTGTTGATGAGACACCTCTTGTTTCGATTAAATCATCTGTTGTAAGGGAGAATGGGTTGAAGTAAGGCGTTTACCTCCAACAACGGTGACAATCGAAGAGGCCAAGGAACGCTTGACGAAACTTTCTGTTCATGAAGCAATACGTGATCGGATTGCAGCAACTCGACACGTAGGCAAGCAATTGTACCAGGCTGATCCCCGTGCTGCCGACGGTCGAATACACGAAATCTGGCGCGAAAAGATACCAGGTATTGATCACGTGCAACGGTGCCCAGCAGACGAAAAATTCCAACACTATCACGAACAGCATCCTTATCACCTGGGAACAACAAACAGGAGAGATGGAATATTTCGAGACGGCCTGTCATATTATTTATCAGGAAAATAAAGGAATGAGAAGAAATGATTGAGATCAACTATATAACGTGATACTGGGTAAACAGAAATTTCGATTTTAATTACGCATCCCTTTGACGAACACGATACGTCTATTAAAAAACAGGAATTTCCGTATTGTAATATCAAATTCTTTAAAAATAATTTAAAGACACAAATTTTCTTTTTTATTTTTCTTAAAGAAAATAAAGTAAGATTACTCCATTTTCTATCGTATCGCGGTAGAGAGAAGGATCATTCTTTTTCGGGATTAAGAAAAGGAAAAGAAAAGAAAGTAAGACTTTGAGAAGACTTAAAGAAATAAATTACAAATATTAGTTTGTCTTTGAAAAATTAGGTTAAGGAACGTGAACATTAAAGGAAAAAAGGGAGTACGATTAAAGTAAGAAAGGGTCATTTCGAAGTGGAATAAAAAATTTAACGAAAAAAGGAAAAAAACAGGTTTCACGATATTGCAACTTTTGCGATAAGAAGGTAAGGACCGATCATGAGAAACATGGAAAGTTCTGAGTTTAAAGTGATGTTAAACGTCAAATAGAAGTAGCCTAAATTGCTTCCAAGAAAAACTTATATCTATCATAAAATGTAATTGGTTCAAGGAAAGGGAAGGGAAAAAAAAAGACGAAAAACCTAGAATTAATAACACGGCAATAAATTCGATGTAAAATTGAAAAGGAAAAAAGAAGAAGAAGAAGAAAAAAGAGGAATTAATTTGAAAGAAAATTAATATTGTGGTGGGTCATGAGAATTTATCGGTTGACATCTTTGTCTAAAGATTTTAATCGAACCTGATACGCGTCACAATGTTCGAGATACCGCAAGTAAAATGGATGTGCATTATACAACAGCCTCCTGTCACTCACAAGCGATAAGGAAAACCAAGAAGTTAGATAAATGGATTTTCCACGGATCGAACGTATATCGAGAAGTAGGATTAAAGATGTGCATGTACACGAAAATCCTTTCTCGTGAAATCATTTTTGAACGTAAAATTGAAAAAAAATCCATTTTATATTTACGAAGTTGTAACTTCGTAAGCGACGAGACTAGTCACTTATTATTACCGACTAGAAAAAAATATGAAATAATTTCGTATTTCTTTAATACGAGTTCTGAGAGAAGCCATTAGAATTTAATCCACGGATTTTAATAAAATTTAACGTTCTAGGTTTATCCAAAATATTTAAAAAATGTACTAAGATTAATATCAATATTTTTTGATTTATAAGTGATAGAAGAAAATTCGACAAAGAAAAATTTGATGGAAGATTTATTTAGATATGAGAGAGTTCGAAAATTAAATCAAAATAATATAGAAATTAATTCTAGAATTCTAGAATAGATTTATTCAAAATATCTAAAATTCTTATTTCGCAAAAAAAATTTATATTAAATATTTAATTTTGGAGGATAAGGATCCGAGCAATCCTTTTTTGGATTTTTAAGAATCAATTCTAGATTTATTTAAACGTTAATTTTACTTACTTTTTTCTTGGCTTCGATACTTTTGCCCATGTAGTTGCTGCGTATAATGTGTTGCCTATTGAATGGACAGCCCGAATCTTGTTGCTCCTCGTTGGAGGAATCTTTCGTATCCCTCGAAACACAATTATTTCCATTGCTGCGAGCCTGCACTCTCGATTCATTGGAAAAATCCGATCCCTTTAATTTTCCACCGAACACACTGGATACTTTCATTCTCGGAACCCGTATCTTTATGAAAAGATTAAAAAAAGATTTTATTTAATTTTCGAAAATCTAGATCATAACTTTTAATAGATGAAATTTTTTAAAATATATTTCCGAAAAAAGTTGACTCTATTTTCTATAGAGGGAAATGAAATATGTAATAAATGAAATAAATGAAATACGAATTTTATCATTGAAACGAAATTTAAAATCCTCCAAATTTCATAACTTTAATGGATTGTTCTTGAAAGTTCCGTTACTTCGCAAATATGAAAATCGAAAATATTGTAAAAAAAATTGTTGACGATACAATTCGTATTTTATTTACGGCAAAATTAAAAAAGTGAACGGAGAAATTTGTGTGATATACGGAAACTAGATTAAAAAAAAAAAAATAATAATAATAATAAAAAAGAAAGAAAGAAAGAAAGAAAGAAAAGGGAAAAATAAAATTCATTTTTAACAAACATTTTTTAATAAACGGTTGAATAGATTTTTCAATTTATTTTTAACCTAATCAAAAGGGCATTTTATTTTTCTATGATATTTTTACGCGTATTTTAATAAAGAGGATAAAGTTGAAATCCGAACGTGAACAGTCAATAAAATATCGTATTTTCGTTACAAAAAAAAAAAAAAAAAAAAAAAAGAACTTTGAAATAATGAACAAATAAAACAGAGATAAATAAAAATTTCTCCCTATAAGGAGATACGGAGTCAAAGATTAAATCGATTTATGTGGCAGACGAGAACTAATATTGACGCAAATTGGCCGTCGAGCATTTAGATGCGTATGAGCTCACATGTATGTGTGCGCGTGTGTGTGTATGAGAGAACATATCGATATTTAGAAAGATATGGCCAAATGAGAAAAACAGTTGAATTTTATATTTGAGATTACGATAATTTATTAAAAACAATTGCAATTTTATATATTGAAAAAAAATCTCATTTTTATAACTATATAATAATTCTAATTTCTTTAAGATCGTAAAGATATTCTTTTATGGAAAATAGATATAAAAAAATGTAATTATTATTTGTCGAGAAATCGGTAATTCGGTGAATTTCTAGAATTCCTTTTTTTTTTTTCCCCTCCCTTTTACAACGAATTTATGGATTTTTATGAAAACTGTTATGTGCTTAGATACAGCGCGATCCTTCATCCTTTCCTTAACACCGTTGATGGAACAGTTCTGGATATTTCATTTTTCAATCTTACGAAACGGATGCACGCAATATTTTATCACGTTTAGCGTCTTCTCTTATTCCGATGGCCGCACGTGTTTCAACGGCATCAAACATTCCATCTATTGCAAAAAATGTAATATAAGGTCGGCGAGGAAAGCGTGAAAAATTGTGCTAATTTAATATAAAGACTGACCAATCCAATCTTTTTGAACGTAGATATTCCGGATTGGTATTTTTATTATTATTATTATTGTTGTTTTAAGAGAATAATTTTCTTGAAAAACGATAACCGACAATTTTTCATCGTTGGAAAATTGAGAGAAATTGAAGCATGGGGAAAAACTTTTTAACGAATTTTATATAAAAAGTTCGACATTTTTCAAAATTGCGAAACAATGAAGTTTATTCAGATAAATACCATCGTAATACGATTTTTCAGAAAATATTAAAATATCCTGGCTATCTATTCTTAAAGAATGTTTAATACGTAACAATCCATTTCACAATTAAACGCGATTAATTTTTCTCACTTTGTGAAATAGTATTGTTATTTATAATCTATTCGCGAGGTATAATTTAATAACTTAATTATTCAAAAGTTTCCCATAATATTAATACATCTCTGATAATTAAAATTAATATATCTCTGATAACCGCAGATGAAACAATAAAGGAAAAAAAAATCTGGAAATTTAAATTAACGTCAGAATGAAAGGAAAAAACAAGCACGCTCCATATTTACTTTATTTAAAAATTCGCAGAAAAATTACGAAAAAGAAAAAAGAAGCAAATAACGAAACATCTCATTAATCGTCAAAACTCTCAGTCCCATTATCTTTCTCATCTTTCAATCTTTCAAAGAAAAAAAAAAAAAATATCGTAAAGATATAATAATCCCGGAGGGGGAGAGGGGGAGGTTCGAGAGTCCCCGTCACACTCGATATCTTATCGACTTAACAAAGATCCAAAAATTGGATCTCGCGCTACGGACTTTTTTTTTCCACTTTTCCACGGATTTCGGCCGCCGAAATGTCGTCTTTCACGTGTGTGAAACGATTAAATAGATGTGGTGCGATCCCTCGCCCAGTCAGTAAAAAATCCGACGACCCACTTTCCGATGCCCCTGCCCACTGATATTCGGTCGCCACCTTTCTCACCCTAGACGCCACTCCCTGGGGAGAGCCGTGGTAGTATCCGTGGGAGGAGGAGGGAAATCCTCGCCTTAATCTCGAGGATGCGCCGCAAGCATTGAGAACGACCGTGGTGTTCGCCCCTCCATCACCTTTGTCATACGTGGAATTCTTCACCGTCGCCCTCGCCGATTCTATCCTCTCCACTGTAATTCGAGCGCTCGGTTATTTGGATTGGATAAGGATTCAGAGCGAGGGGCAATGGCTAATGGTTCTTTTTTTTCTTTTCTCTTTTCTTTTTTCTTTTTTTTTTTTTTCTGTTTTATTGGATCGTCGCAAGCTTGATTTGCTCGCTCCTCTCTTTCTTGTCTTTAATTGCGCGCGTTATTCTGGATATGATTCCCGGTTCGGGTTTGTTTGCCCGAGTTAAAATGTTTGCAAAGAAATATTTGCGACCGCTGGAATTTCTGTTCTCTTTCACGAACTATTTACGAACTATTTTTTATCGTTCGAAACAATCGCGAGAGAAATATATTTCGAAATAGTCTTTGAAATTTGAATGAATTCTCTTTTCTATCCTCAAACATCGAAATATTCCCGAAGAATTGTTCGCTCTTTTTTTTCCTTTTTTTTTTTTTTTTTTTTTTTTTTTTTTTTTTGATTTTTGATCATTCGGGTTAATGAAGATTAAACACTTACGACGTTGTTGACAATTCGACGACTGACGAATTTCCTGCCGTAATCCCCTCCAAAGTTTCACTGCGATCAATGAATAAGCCAAGCTCATCACGATTAAGGGAACTAAAAGCAGGGTCCCGTCTAAGAAAAGATTATAAGCTCGCTCGGCGCCAACGCTCGGCCATTCCTCCCGGCACTTTTGTCTTCCTGTAAATGCACGCTATTCAACTTCTTAAATTTTCAAACAAATGGGGACAATCCTCGAGACAAGGTGGAATATATGAGAAATTTATTGGAACGTGTGAATTTCAAAGGAAGAATTCCGATCGGATTGAGAGAGAGAAAAAAAAAAAGAAACATCCTTTCTTAGTGTTAAAAAGTTAGAGAACCATTTATTTGTCGAATTTCGATTCGAATATATCTATTCTTCTCTAATTGGATACAAGAAGGTGCAAGAATATTCCAGATTCTTTTTAAGTAAAATACTTGATTAGATTCTATGTTCTTTTTTTTTTTTTATAGATGTTTTACAAATTTCATCCAATCTCTCTCAAAAGTTAGAAACGTGTTTTGTAAATCGATATTGGCAAAGAAATTTTTATTTTTGTAAAAAAAAGACTGTAAAAACTAACGAGTTTAGTTAATAAATTAAATTGTTAAAAGTATTGTTTGAAAAATTTAATTTAAAAAATTTTAAAAATTTCTTACCATCGCGTATACTTTTCAACCGCGAAACAACGAGAATTGGCGCATTCCACGTAAGACTGGCCGTCCAAACCACGGCAATCATTTTGTAAGCATGGAACTGTGTTTGCCATCTTCTCGACTTCAGTGGTCTGCAGATGGCAAAGTAACGCTCCAAAGAGATGGCGACCAGTGTCCATACGCCGACAGACACCGACACGGCTGAAAAGGGAAGGGATAAAAATATTACCCTCAAATATTATCCTCAAATGAATTTTTATTAAATTCACTCACCAAAAAGAAGAATAGTTGTAATATTAAGAATAAACGATCTGAAATCGTTATTGAATATCGCTTGAAATATTATCGATATTCTCCGTGGATGAAGGATATACTACATATGAAAGACATAATTTATATCTTGACTATCGATAAACGTCAAATTATTCTCTCGATAAACACAGCATAGATAATTTAATCCCCCTTGGATACATTAATTCTCTCGTTTATATCTTTCATAATTCCTGTCATTAACTATATTTAATTATATCTATAAAATCGTTCTTTGTTGTGCGCCGAGTATGAATACGAAATCTTGGCTACCGATAATATTCAACCGTGTCGCCAACACAGAATCAATATTTTCCCTATACAACAATAGTTTATCTTTGAATAATTAATTTTCACTCGTGTGAATGGAATAAAATACAAATAATTAGGGAGGATTATTCATGTATCAATTATTCGCATAAACATCTATCGTATTTCTCTCTTTTTTATTATTATTATTATTATTTATCAGATATGATTCAGATAGAAAGGACGATCCTATTTGATCGACGAAAAATAAATAAATTATCAATGATTAAATTAGAGAAATTTATTTCACAGCAACGTCGTGTATTATTTTAATTTTACCACCATCCATTTTATTTGGTTGTACAACTTCAACGTGAATTAACGATTCTTCTCGGAGGAATATGGAAACTAGTTTCTTCCTCAAATTGGGGCATTAATCTCCATTACCATCTGTGTTCTTAGCATAAGTTTTTACAAAGAGTAAAGTATGCACAGTTGGAATCAACCGTGAAATGCAAACGAAAACGATACGAAGAGTTTTAAGGAGGTGAATATTTTTTCAGAAATTCAAATTTATTCGGAACAAAATGATTTTTTTGCTTTTTTTTTTTTGCATTTAACGAATGCGATGGTTTATATGAAAACGCATTCGAGATACCGCGTTCGTATCCGATTTTCTGCCAATAAATTTAATATCATCTCGAAACGTGTGATTTAACATAATCGTAATCCTAATAAATCGTGCATGCTCGTTTTTTTATGAGCGTGATAAAATTGTATTTAGTATTTACAAATAAACGTAGGATTGAATTTAAACAAGCTATTCATTGTCCATTTTAATTATTCCATTCGTATTCTGTATTAAAAAACATTTTCTTCTTAATTAATAATTAATCAGATTTTACAGATTTTATACAGATAAATATATGTGTATCATTGTATAATTAATGTCAAATTCGATCTGTCGTGATTATTATGTAAATAAATAAGATTAAATATATTCTATTCTATTTCTAACTATTTCTATTTTATAAAAGTTATAAAGATAAATGCGAATAAGGTACTTCTACTTTTATTCGCGTTCAATTTAGCTTTTCAATAATAGAAACCCTTCGAACGCACACTTCACGGAATGTGCATATTGTTCTCCGTGCGATGAAATTCAATGTAAAAAGTATCAAACGATTCAAGTATTCGATAAGTCAGAGAATGTTTTTCAATTTCGCGATGTTTCAAAATTATTGAATCGATGCAATCGACGAGTTTATATTCTATTATTCAAATATTTTAATATACACAATAAACGTTATAAAAGTATTTTATATATTTGTGAATTTTAAATATTTAAAATAAGTCGCAATTTTAAATAGAATGTTTATAAAACGAAACAAATATTTTAAGAATTTGGAAAGAAAAATTATCTGTTTGGCCAAGAGACGTGAAAAAGTAATATCGTACTAGAAAGCAGTAACAAAAGTCGAGCATGCGCATTCTTTGAGATCGAATATATGTGTAAAACATTCGATAAATTTTTATTAAAAACTTTTTCAATCATCATGATTAGAGATTCGCGTTACAATTTTTTAAAATTTAGAATTTTTTAAAAAAGATTTTGTAAATAGAAGCAACAGAATTTAATAACAAATTTTACGAAATTTATGTAAAACGTATTTTTATAATGCGAAATATTTTAATACTTTCATTTTCGGGATCGAATTTATCTAAATAATTTATTTATTTATCTAAATAAATGCAGAAAAGAAAAATTCATGTGGTTGCCGTGAAAAATATTTCCGTACTCGAGTTTTTTGCAGTACAAGAGTTTCGTGGTTCGTTGCACAATTGCTTCAAGCTTTTAGAATTAATGATAGTGTTCGCAGACGCGAGATTTCATTTGAACAAAGGAAGGAAAAAAAAAATACTTCCTCGTTACTTCACATAAGATATCTTTCGAGAAGATTAATTATATCTAACTTTAATTAATTAAATGATAGTTGAGTGAATTATATCGAAGTTAGAGTTTGCAACTTTGATGAGCCAACAATGATACTCATGCAAATTTCTATCATTCTATCACTATTTACTAAAGTGAAGAGAGACAATAAGATGAAAATGAGATGAAAATAAGATAAAAATATATCGCGAAAAGATAGTATCGTTAAAATAATAATATTAAAATAATTCATAGTCTTTACGTCTTTATTTTACTTTTATGAAAAGACATCTGAGATCAATCTGACGAGATGCCAGAAATTACCATTCATATGATAAATCCTTTTAAATCCAAAATTCCATTAAAATTCCTTCTATATTCGTTTGAATCGTGGTTACTTTATTCTCACCACGACTATTTTATCCTATTGTTTGACCCTAACTTTCCTATTCCACTTGGCTGACCACGACAGTCTCTTGTTCTATTTGTCTACCCTATTCTACTTGTCCAGCCATGCTGTTTTATAATCTCAAATGGAAGAGGTCGGACAAGTAGAATGAACCAGCTGTGGTCAAACAAATAAATTCTTAAGAGAGAGAGAGAGAGAGAAAAAAAAACATTTAGATAAATTAAAATAGATTTAGAAATTTGACTCGAATATTTCATTTTCCACGTATAATATTACGTTACTACCTGTAAAGTAAAATATTTCATTCCGTTATATATTAAATCTTAACGCGAAATCCAACTACTACAAATTTCATTATAATTATTATTTCCACGTTATTTGTTGCCTAAAAAAGAAAAAAAAATTCAAAAATATACGTGCCTCGATATTTTCACACAGAATATAAAAATATTAATTATAATAATCGTTCTGTTCTGACAATTAGATGATTCATGATGCATCAGTTTATTAAAAACGAAAAATATATAAAAATATATATTCGAAAACGCCAGATTTTCTTTCTTTACACGTAAATAATACAGGTAGCATTCTCGATCACGGAACTTCGTTTTCTGTCGGTATTCGATTACAAAACGTATTTCACTAGCCGTAGGTGATCTCGTTCCTGTTGCACTTTCCGTCTGGCTTTTCCCCAAATAGTCGTTTTCTCTTTTACCGGTCCATAAAAATTGTTCGCGTCCCGCGATAAAAGTCGATCTCTCGACACTCGTTAAACGAAGCTAGAAAATCGAACCCTTTTTCCCTTCTCTTGAAAAATTATATTTTCCTTTTTTTTATCCGAGAGAAAATTCAATAGATAAACAACTTCGATTTCGATTTGTCAACTCGCGTTAATTATTAATTATTAATATTATTAATTATTATCGATTTATATCCACAAGTTGATAAATGAAAAAGGAAAACTTTAATTTAAGCTAGTATGGTAATATATCTGAGACGAAGTTTGGGAAACAACAGTTCGGAAACAATGATAATTTCTATTCAAGTACACGCAGCACGCCTCAACAATCTTGCTTCGCCTTGCGTTTAATTCTAAGTTAAAGGTGGCTACCTAAGCAATATAAGTTTCATAGCTTAGGCGTTAAATCACGGATAAAGAGCGATATTTGCGTGAAAAAATTCTTGAACTTTCAATATTAATATCGATAATTAATATCGATAATATTTATAAAAAGATAAAAATTTCTTGTTTCAATAAAAACAATAAAAGAAAAATGTATACCAGGAATACCAGGACAAGAAAAAAGGATTATATTTTTTGTTATAGTATGTGTGTGTGTGTGTGTGTGTGTATGTGTGTTTCATACTCATTCGTACGAAAGAAAATGATAAGAAATAGGATAGGATAAAAATAAGAAAGAACAATATATCAGCTCGAACTGCATTCCATAAGAAATCACAATGGGGACAATAATATTTTCTTTTTTTTAAAAAATCAATTTTACTTTTTTTTTTCAAAAAGACGTATTTTCTTCTTTATATCGAAAAGAAAATTGGCAGTTGTACTTTTTTATTACTGGTAACTGAAAGAAAACAATTAATAAAATTCATACAAATTCAGAGATGGCCTCGAGTAGGAGAAACTTGTTATCAAGTCAAACAAAGGTTCAAATTTCAATACACTGTGTCCATGTTTTGAAAGAATATTTGATATTTAACTTACAGAATCGAGGAAGACGAGTTATCGAGAGCAAAGGAAATATCGTTTTAAAAATAAATTTTAATTATGATTATTGTGATATGTGACATTTTAATTTAGACTGGATTATATATTATATATATATCATATAGAGAAAGAAATTTTCATTATATAACTTCGATTCAGTTAAGGATTAAACTCTGCACAAATAAAATTTAATCGCGTAATATAAACTCTCAATGTTTATTACCGCCTACACGTGTTTATTCAACTTACATTCAAGCTACGATTTCAACACGTAAAGTGTTTCTCCTCTTTTTCCTCATTTTATTTGCAACTTTTTCCTCAAATTTTTTGAATTATCATCCCTACGTCAAATAAATTATTTTTATTTAAAATAGAGATTTTATAGACGTTAATAACAGTGGCGAAATAATTATTTCCCAAAGAGAAGAAAGTAAAATTCATACGTGTGTAACGCCGCCACGTTTGAATTTCATTAGATTGAATTATGCAAACTATGGGGTAGGTTTTTCATAACCCCTATTGAATGGCCCTTTACCCAGGCCACTGTATAAATTACCATCTTCGTTGGGCAAGGTTATGCTTGAATACAAGGCACATACAAGTTTACAGGTATCAGATGTAATCGTTTAGGTTTATTGCAAAATTATTCAGATTATAGAAATGTGTGTGCTTCTAATTTATATGTTAGATCGTGTGCAGTTAGAAATTGTCAGCGAGCTTCAATTTCGAAAACGTACGACAATGCAGTGGACTATGACGACTATCTAGAACGTAACTAGTTTATATTTGCTTATAATACTCATCTTGATAAATGTTCCAAGCAGTGAAACGAATTTAAATAATCAAACGTTCGGAGTTGCAATTTTAATTTTTACTACAGAGATATTTATCGAATACTTCAAATTGATTTTATAATTGAAATTGTAAAAAAATTATTTAATTTCGAAAAAACTCTTTCAAAGTTATACGCGTCATTATTATGGAATTTGTGGAGTTTTTTTTTCTATAGATTAGTAGGATTAAAAAAGAAAAAAAATCGATTCTTTAAATCAGAGAAATTCCTAACATCAACTTGCCAAAAAAAAAAAAAATTATCGTAGAAGTAAAAGTTAAATGAAAAAATTTTTTTAAGATTATAAAAGAAAGATAGTCCAGTTTCGTTTATTTCGAACGTGATTGTCTTTATATTGTTTTTACAACCTTTCATTATTTCTTCCCTCTTTCCTTTCTTTACTTTGAGTAAAGAAACAATATTAAACTGAATGAACCAAATGAACAACTTTTCATTAAGAAAAAATATATCACAAAGTGAAATAATTAAAATAACGAGAATAGAATAAAACAATTTCAAAATATTACTGAACTGAAAACAATTCATTAAATCGTGAAATTTTTAATGTAGGAATAAATTTGTAGATGATATATATTTTCGATAAATTATATAAATAAACAAATAAATATTAGTACAATTATTATGATTGAGAGTATTATCACCTATTTACAAATTTGAATATATTTCATTGCTTTCAGATCACTTCCTATATATATATAACTTTCGATGAACATTATAATAGATACAAATTAAATTGGACGTTTAATGTTTCACAACGTTCAAAATATATCGGTATGAGTACGAGATATTACGAACACCATATTTCGATGAAGTGTCAGAATAATTATAGAAATTAATTCAATCAATTAAATCAAATTTACCATCGTCGTATCAGGTAAAATTGAATGAACTCTAATAAGCAAGGAATTAATAATAATTGTTACAGAGCTACTAATTTTGATAAAAAAAAAAAAAAAGAAACCTACAAACGTAAACGTGTTAAAAACGTTTATCCTTACAATATATACCAGTTCACGATATAATAATTCAGCATGAGCAAACAATCTGAAAATGCAAATTATACTCGACAACACGAAATGTTATTTGCTCCCGATCTCTATTCAACGACTGCTCCATTCGACGATTATTCAACGCACGCATCGTCCGCACAATATAACCTGACACCCGAATATTCCTTTTTTCTTCTATTTTACAATATCTTCCACTCACGTCGGGCAACAAACAGCGCACATATTATCCCAGAATACATTTAGCCATGTCTATAAAATGAAATTTCGGATAATATTTTTCTTTTACGTCCTAACCTCAAACTCGCTCATTTTCTTCTACGCGTCGAGAGAGAGAGAGAGAGAGAGAGAGAGAGAGAGAAAGGAAAAACTCGCTGGATTCGCATATGATTTATAATCTATTAGAGTTCGTCAGAAGGAAAAGTAATGAATAAATTTTGCCATTTCGTTCGGTTAATGTACGATCAATCTCGAAATGAGAGAGAACGAGAGAAAATTCGATTTCTGAAAACATAATATCAATGGAAATCAACCCCCCTCCCTGCCCCCTCTGAAGTCACTTCAAAGAGTAAATGAAAGACTTCAAAGGATACTATTAAATTCCAAACCGTATCAAATCTTCTCTACGGGGAAAGTAAATTATCCTCTCTGGTATTTTAGAATTCGATATGGCGTTAAATTTTTATGGAATAAGATGGAATATATATATATATACGTATATAGAGTAAACATCCGTATACTTAATATCATTCTACGTGAACGTTAAATTATCTTATAACGTTCTAGAATTTTTTGAATGCTAATAATTTCAGTTTTTTTTTATTTTTATACTCGTTATATATTGATTCCAGCTTCGAAACTTTTACGGATGACAGTTTGTTCTATATCCGCGGATATACGATCGAAATTCTACATTTCTAAAATTTGTTGGAAACTAAAGCTCAACTTTGAACGACATCTTCCACCCAACCAGTCATCTCTATTTTATGTAGCAAAGCAAAGCTGTATTTGGAATGCAATTTCGACCTATCGAACATGTTTTCAATGCGATGATATTTTCGGAACGATGATATTTTTCACGCATGTTTAGTTAAAAGAGATAAACGTTGTAAAATAAAAATTACCAACCGATTAAATTTGAATTGTGACGTAGAATTTTGACATAAGATTTTATCACGATTTATTCCATTTTTTATTATTATTTCGAAAAATAATTTAATAACCGATAACGTTTAATTCATTAAATAAATGAATTTAATACTCGTTTCACTTTCTCTTTTTAACCGTATACCGAACTCTTTTTGGTATTTTATTAATCCTTTGTTCGAGCAACCATTCACTGCAATTCCTTTTAAAGCGGAAATACAATTGTATAAATTTATAAATCGGAAAAGAATTCGTAGAAATTTAATACGATATACGTTTACTAATTTCATGAATAATAATTGATAAAAATAATAACCGATATTTAAATCGAATAATTGCGAAAAATATAGGAAAATATTAAATATTAAAAACATTTTATAAATTTTCATTGATTCTATTGATTTTAATTTTTTGCTCCAATATTTGCTTATGCAAATACGTATATTTGGAGATCTCTTTTTCCACGCGTGTTCAACACATATACATTTACATACGTGTTTATCAATATATTGTAATTATAAACCATGATCTCTAATATGTATAGTTTTTAAGTAAATATAAATTATTTTTATATCATTAATATTAGAAAAAAAAAATTGGTGAAATAATGTCATTCATATTTTGAAAAAGTTAAATAAGATCCTAAAAGTGATTAGCGTCAATCATTTGAAAAACTTTTTTGATTCGTATCTTAGATACAAAAATTGGAAATCTGATTAAACTTGGAACTAAATCGTAAAGTCGATACTAGCAAGAAACCTTTTTATTTTCTTTACCATTTTTGTAGCACGGTTTTTCTTAGAAACTTATGAAAGTTAAAAATATAAAATCTCGTGAAATAATTCTACTCTGACGTGTAATTTTACACCAGTAAATCTTCAATATTCTAATTTCTATATTATTTATAAAATTTCGTTCCTTATCCATTAAAATGCAAAATTGTCTTTATATTTCGCAAAAGTATCGCAATTACATTCTTTCTGCGATATTTATCAAATATGCAAGCATTCTTATTCAATTATAAATCTCACTTTATATTTCAAAATTAAATTTTTGAATGAGAATGGAATGGAATCCAAATTAATTTTATATTACAACGATCGAATAATACGTACCTTGAAAATACGGTATTAGTTTGCACATCGTTATACCAAAAACAAAATTCTTCAGAACTTGTCCAAGAAGTGTAAAAGGCATGCAAAAGACGCCGAGCAGCAGATCCGAAACCGCCTGGAAATTAACGAAATATTTTATATATAAAATAAGTAAACTTTCATGGAAATTTAATTCGAGTGAAGTAGAAAATAAATTGTAACACAATTGAGCAATGTTATAAAGTTATGCGCATTTATCTCTACCTTAATTCTCATTTAAAGCTTTCTCATCAAAATAAATACAAACGAACCAGTTGAATAAAACAATCGTGGCCAGACAAGTGGATTAATGCCATCGTTATCAGACGAAGTGGAATAAGACGATTATATCAAATACAGACACAAAGTAGAAGAGATGCGTCATAATTGAACAAGTAGAGCAAACTGATCATGATCAAACGAGTAGTACAAGTCAATCATTTCTGTATAGAGATAGCATACAAAACGAGTAGTACAAGTCAATCATTTCTGTACAGAGATAGCATACAAGAGAATTACGAAGAGAAGAATGACTATTCAAAATTGATTAAATGAATAATATTTTTACGAATTTAATTTATCCGTGATATCGTGACGATACCTCTTTATTCGCATCTACTTCAATAAAATTAAACTTCGACTGAAAATTGGCACTGTAGAATGCAATCACCGTTCCTCACGCAATCTCGCTGCAAAATTTATAGAACATCGACCTCCTACGCATTAAGAAAAATGTGAGCAAACAGTGAAACGAAATTAGAATACCGATAGATGTTTGTTATTCCAGTGAAGCACGACAAGAAATTCAATCAACGATATAGAGATTCTGCCTACCTCTCCAATCTCATGTGTATCATTAATGGTGAAGTTTTGCTCCGAATTTGTTCCAAATATCGTGTTTTAACGATCATCGATAAATTCAACAATATCACTCAATACGTATGATACCATTTGGATTAATTAATCGAATATCGGCGAGATTTTATTATTTTGTCGTCTTACAGCTCTTCATCAAATATATATTGTATAATTTAATTTTATTGAACAACAGAACATTGTTCTATATTCTCGTGTTTATTACCATTTTATCTGAATTGTCTCGAGAATTAAAAATTTATATTTGTGAAAAAATGATTTTCAATTAAAATAATGTATATATGTATTTGTATATTTGAATTTTGATTGAATAAAAGAAATAGATAAAAAGTAATTTTTAATTTGTGGAAAAGCCATGTAGAAAGCTATATATCAAAATTAATTTCTGTTTTTAATTACAACAAAGGGAAATTATTAAAGCATTTCATTATATTTCTCGCTTTATAAATTTCCTTCAAATTTTTTAATTGTCCATTTATATATATTGCAATAATTTTAAAATTCGTACAATTTTGATGCTAATTTAATATTACATAGTTCGATTTAATATTATATGACAATTGTATATTGTACATTATAGAAATAGTTAATTTATAATTGCGTGATTCGGAATTAATTAATATCGATTAATTAATTATATAATAATTAAACTGGAAAAATAATTCTTCAATTCTTAAAATTAAACTAAAATAAACTTAAGTTACTGCGGAAAATAACAAGTTTTAAAAATATCAAAAATAATCGATAAATTACGTATAGTATTTATGCAAATCCGTAGAGTAAACTCGAATTCGTGTCGCAAACCTCAATTCACACAAAATAATCCTGTAATTTATTGAATTGCATCGAATCGTTAAATACAGAATATTTTACATCGCTCAAATTTGAATTTACGATTTTGTACTATACACCGTATTTACATTTTTTCCCGATTTATCAGTGATTTATCACATTTTGACATATAAAACTTTCTTGTTTTATTTTACTTTTTTTATTTTTTAGTATTTTTCAAATATTTCAAAAATAGAAATTCTCAAATTCTATAATAAACTACGTGAATTACTAAGAAAGATTTTCTTCGAACATTATATTTACGTTTAATTAAGAAAATTAAAAATGTAAGGCAAAGAATTAGTAAATAGTCGAAAAAAAAAATGAAATAAAATTATATATATATAAAACCATATGTACAAAGGTTTGAATCTAATTTTAATGTAAATTCACCAAGGATTAATTCGCGACTTAATTATACTGGATTTTCATTTTCGTTCTTATTCTATAATTTTGCTTCATGTGTTTTTTCGCGAAATAAAAATAAACACGATTCCTTTAATTTTTCTCAAAAAATGAAAAATTATCGGTTTTATCGCTTAACATTAAGATACAAATGGACTATTAGTTTTTCTCTGAACGATGACATTCATCTTATAACAAGTATGTTCAATTTCTCAAATTTGCAAATCATTCCATCCTAAGGTATATTTAAATTATTGAAAATTAGAGAAATATATCAAGTACTTACAATACATTCAAAAACTAGACGACCAAGGAATTATTAAAAAATTATACTGAGATCTATCTATTAGATTTAGACATTAATATGACTGTTTCTACATTTTTTTTTTTTTTACACTTAGCATAGTACATGTTCAGAATCGAAAAGCAATTACAGAGAAATAGCTCTCTGTATAAAGGAAAAATAGATAGTAGGTTTCGATTCCGTTCGTTATGCGTGGAGAATAATCCGTAGTACGTAGATTAAAACTCTTTGACGGCATTGATCGAAAATCGATTTCGTCGTAGGAAACAATAAAGGTTTTGTTGAGAAGTAGCGTGCATTCGAAGGAAAAACGAATATTTCGTGCAAGAATGGGATTGAAGTAGTAAAATGATCAAATTTTTTGCTTTGTATCAATCCCTCGGTTCCCTCGGTGAAAATATCGAAAATGTAAAATGATCCACACACAATTCTAATAATTTCTTCATTTTAATAAATTGGACAAAATTTTGAGAAATTTTAATAACTGATAAAAATTGAATAAAATTTGAATAAAACATTTCAGTTGGAAATTACTGACCTAGATCATCGAATTAATTAATCCGTCTCTAATTGACGGTATACGAAAAGATAAAATTTTGGATTCATTAGTTTTTACTTTTATAACCCTTGTTATCTTCCATTTAGTAAGGGATTCCACTTTCATCTCTTTAATATTTTTTCCTGTAATTTTCAATTAGTCAAAATAATTAGTGAATGGTATTATTTTATGTTAGTTTTAAGTTATCTTATTAGGATAGAATATCTGTTGTATCTGTCATATCGAATGCATTTCAAGATCGTACACGTGATAAATAAATATAATGCCTATAATGGATAGGAACATCTTTTTTCTTTTTTCTATTCATAGATATTTTTTCTAGAAGTTTCATGTATTATTTGTATTATTACATGTAATGCAGTAGCATTTTTTTCTTATTTTAAATAAAGTTTGACCGAGATAGCCTACGAAATTATCTATTTTCAAAGGAATTTTTGTTTTCAGAATAAATGTTGCTAAAAATTCACCACGCTATTGTGCGCCTCGCGTTAAAGCGTGAACCGTGTTCGTTACCAATAGATATTGCCGGAAGCTTTGTCAAGTTTAACCGTTCTGAAACACATCCATCATTCATATCTTAAAGTGTAACAGGTTAAATGAATGGAAAAAAACTTACTATAATATCCTACACCTCAAAAAAAATCTCATTACTTTACTTTGCTCGATATTCAAATTAACAAATACGAAAAATAAAATTTTTAAATCGAGAAAAATTCTTCATCTATCGGCCAATTATTCAATTTTCACTTCGGCTTATTTAAATCCGAAAAAAAGTGGAAACAAAATTTAATAAAAAAAAATTACAATTCGTTCGAACAATCCTCGCTCTAAAATATTCTCCAAATTCATAAATTAACCATTAATCACTTGCAAATCACGTGCAATCCATCTTTCAAAACATGGCGTAAAATTTTATTTACAAAATTAATCCAATAAAAATAATCGAATAACAATTCCCCTCGTTCAGTCGATCATTTATCCAGATGGAAATTGGAGTGAAACAAGGAAAAAAAAGTAAATAAATAAATATCAATCAGTGAAATGGATATTAGAGAAAAATGAATGTGAAAATTCTTTTTTTACCAGATTTAACAAGTAAACGTTGGTCACGGTCCTCATCCTCTTGTTACGTGCCAGGGTGATCAGCACCAACGAATTCCCAACGATGGAGAGGAGAAATATTATTCCGTATAGAGGGACTATCAAACTCTCGAGCAGATTCGTTTGGCCGTAATGCGTGGCCGCCACTGTTGGCAACGTTGTCACGTTCAAAACGGGGGACGTAGTTGTTGGCTGGGGCAGATTGGTGGCGAACGATTGATCCAAGTCGGAATTACCAAAATAATTGGTCATCGTGCCGATATCGGTTTCGTTGTAATTCGTGGCCGACTTCATCATTTTATTCAAAACGATCGTTCACAATTCAACCCTATTTAAAAGGATTTACGATATTGTGCAACGCGATAATTTGATCGATGTTCCATCCATGGATGGTCGGCTCTGTGCAATCGATGTTAAACGATTGGAAACTTAAGAATCGTGCCGATATCTATTCGATGGAATCGATTCTCTTCATCTTGTAAATTTGATTTTCATATTCCGCAAACGATTCTGAAAAAAATAAAGAGAGATTTATCTGTTAGTAAAATCTTCGTGTATTTGAATATATATGTATAATATTTTTTATTCGAATCAATTTTTAATTTAAAACTTATTTGTTGCATCTTTTCATTGATCGTGGTTTCTATAATTTTTTATAGTTATTAATCGCTTCTTGTCCATCTTTCCATTGGATTATTAAGGAGTTTATGAAGAAATTTTTATGGAAATTTTTAGCACGTAATTTATAGGATTTAAATAAAAATTGTTTAGGATGGGAAAAGATTTTGTTTCTTATTTGTGTAATAAATTGTGTGTACATATTTTGCTTCTTTAAGATGAGAAAGAAAAAAATTAAATATCTTTTTAATAAGAAAAAATCTCTCTTCTCTCAATGTATAAATAAATAACTATTCTTATTATTCTAACTAGTGTTTTTCAAAATATTATAAAATTTATAATTGTTTCAAAATATTTCTGGTAACTTTTTTCAAATTTATAGCTGCGATTACATTGTATCTCGCTGCTTTAATCATTTTGAAATGACAGTTGGAAAATAATATTTAAAAAGAAAAATCGTGGCTTTAGTTCCTCGCGCTTCGAGAAATTTTACGATCCCAAGAATTTTTAATATTCTCTTAAAACGTCACATTTATGGCATAAACTGCATCAAAATGACATAGATTGTGATCAAATTGAATAGATTAAATAGCACACGGTGTATCGAATAATTTAACGGATATGACAGCTGTAAAGCACCTGGGGCTTCTCTGACCCCTGTTGCAGATGTTACCCTCAAGTACATCACGATGGATATGGTTCTGCATACGTAAAGAATTTCGAAGAAAATCATTAACTACCACCGCCATCTTTATATTTAGGAAGAATGTTAAACTCCTTTAAAGTTAAAGTCATCGTCTTAATACATCTAATTTAATATTTAAAATGAGCATCAAATGCCTCCAAAGTTAAATTAGAATATACATTATTTTAAGAAATATATACATATATTTATATAATTCTTAATAGAATTTTGTACGAATTGAGTGTAATATAACAATAATACTTAAGAAGGCTTGTTAAGAAACTATATTGAAAAGCTTATACAAACTTTCGATCCCTCTCATTTATCATTGAACTAAACTATTATTAAACGAAATATCGCAGACGGTAAAGAAGATTGGTTAAATCTTATTACATGGTTTCGAGTGAGAAGATCTCACAATGGGGAATCGTGTATATCGTTAGGAATATAAACTTGCTGAATCGTGGTAACTCATTACGAGATCACGACGACTCGTCGGCATTCGTCTTCGTCAGCCTTTATTATCAACCAAGTTTGTTCCAAGTTCAGATATAAAATTGAAAATTTTCTACCTGAAAAGAAATCTCGTGAAAAGTTATATACATAAATTTCAATCCGATGTTCGAATATTATTCTTTAATCTCGAAAGAAAGAAAAGAGAACGACAATTTTTATTAATTAAAAAAATCATGTACGAGATTCGTCGAAAGGAAATATAAGTTTCGAACAATTAGTTTTATGATTAAAAATAAATAATTTCGATATCGTTTCGTATATTTCGTATGGTTATATGAACTTAACAGTGACAGAAGAGGAAAAAAAGTTATTACGTATAAGATAGATAGATAGTTTAAATGCAAAAAGTTTGAGTAACAAATGAGTTGTTTGAATTGAAGTTGCGCGAGATGGTCTCTTGTGGAATCAAGTTTGATTGGAGAACAGTGAGCAAGAATTTAACGAAGTGCTATGAATTCTTAAAAACCATTCCTCCGACCGAGAAATTATTCGAAACTTTTCCTCGTACGTTCTACGTAAAGAGTAATGAAGAATTTTGAATAATCGAAAGGAACCGAGTTATTAACGAAAAAGGCATGAATTCTTAAGTATCATACTTCCGAGCGAAAAATTATTATTCGAAACTCTTCTCAATGTTCCCTTGCCACGTGATTATTTGAATAATGAGAGATTGATCGATCGTAACGAACGATTAAAATCTATTTTTTTTCTCTCTCTCTTAGAAATAAGTAATAACGCAAAAACAAGAATAATTGATGGAAAATTAACGATATTTTGCATCAATTTTATAAAATTTTATAAAAATTTAAAAGTGAAATAAATATGATGATTATTTGAAATTTACCTTAAAATATTTCCACTTTCATTTCGCGTGTGTCTACGTATATACAGAAAATGGGGATACGTGAGCGTTTTCACGAACTGATATGCATTGATATGATCATCACGAATACGAATATTTTTTTCTGGAAAAAACCTAATCCTGATTAGATTAAAATGAAAAAAATCTTAATATTTAAATAATATTTAATGAATATCAATTGATATTTAATCTATATATTTATTTTATTTATTTATTTTATTGTCGCATAAAATTTATTTTTAACAATATATTTTATCGGAAAAATGTATTGATCCGAATAATAAAATGCACTTGCACACTCTCAAACCGTATTTATTCGGGGTAATTAATAAGCTTATTCGTGGAAATACATCTATTCAGGAAGCGTGTTAACAACGCGTTTACGTACGTGCATTTGTTACAATGCACTCGTTATATTATCATTTAAAAAACGTGGAAATTTTCAGAAGAATTTTCCACGATAATGAAGAAGATCGAAGTTTCTGTTGGCCAATTTTCAGCTGCACACAATACGAGTAAATTTACATAGTTTCAAGCAACGTCACGTCATCACTTTTTCATTTTTAAATAAAATTTTATCGAAACATTGGACGTTCCCCGGCGATAAACAAAGCGGTAATTGTAAAATTTGATCGAAATTGATGAATTTTTTTTTTCTTTTTTCTTTTTCTTAAAGTCAATAATCGTCATTTCGAGATTTGATTTCTCGGGACGAGTAACTCGATTTCGTAGAATGCAAGTTCGAATTGTCGATCGAGAGGTATACGCTAGAAACGTCAGATATCTGTTGGTTTCAAGCGAATTATTGCCATTTGTCTCGAGTCGAGAAACCAAAACTCGATCGTAAATTAATTCGTAATATCGATTTGCAATCTAAAATAGCGAGAATTTCTGTCTCTTCCCTGTACAAAACCACGATTGAAATATGTCTTTGTAGTCGTTCAGAATGCATGCGGAATCACGAAACTTTGCCAAGAGTTCCGTTTCCCTTCCCGAGAAAATGAATTAATGAAGCTACTGAAGTGGTATTTTGCAATTTTAATCAACATGGAGTAGAAGACATTCAGAGAAAAATATATAGCAAGATGTATCGCTTTTGCAATTGATATATATATATATATATATATATATATATATATATATATATATATATCGTTCACAATAATTACAAGTAGGAAATCTTCCTTGGAAAGTGGATAACGTGGATTAAATATACGTACACGCAATCATACGTGTGTGATCTATAAGCAAATGGATACGATGATTCGAATCGAATGGATAATGAGAAATTGATCTCACGATTTCGAAGTGGAACATTAACGGTCGACAAATATTGATAATTTCATTTTATCAGTTGAATAATAATAAAATAAAAGGTTATTTATGATTAAATAAATAACAAATGACTAAATAAATTTATAGGTTGAATTTTCTGCCTCTTGCATTTAATAGTAGGCGGTGTTGCATTGTAAATATTATTGCGAGGGAAGAAATTGAAATTGACGAAGTCGAATTTTAAAAATATCGAATTCATACAGAAAAATAAAAAAAAAAAAAAAGAAGAAAAGAAAAAGAAAAGAATTACTTACGGGTCAAGAAGCTTTTTAAATTTCTTTTAAATCTTACACAAAGAGTAAAAAAATTTATTTCTCTTCTTATTTCTTCATTGCACGATATAAAATTCAAAGAGGATAAAGTGTTCTTCTTAACATTTTTTACACAATGCAGTAAAAATTAAAAAGAATTATCTGTATCTCCTTTCGAAGAGAATATTTTTCTACGAGGATAAAAATAAACAATACATTTTCAAAAGTGTTAAACTACTTTTTGGTTCGATCTTCGAGAAACTTTTTAATTCCAAAGCCGTTACTCGGATGGATCAACTTGGGACAAATCTTTTTTGATAACTCAATTTCGATCATTTTTTTCCCTCCCCTTCAATTATAATTCGAAGAAAAAAATCGCGATAGGATTTCACTTTGTTGAATCAATTCTTTTTTAAAAATTTTAACGTCTAATTTGGACGAAACTTCGATAAGATTTTTAAATAGAAGGAAATGAAGGCAGGACTCGATGATCTTCTTATTTGATTAATTAATAATAATTCATATCTTATGTATCGTGTGTTAAACGTTTAATTGAAAATTGCAAATATTATTTATTTATCGTGAGAAATATAATTTATTTGCGTACAAATGAGAGGAGAGTACGTATGTATTATATTCGTAATATAATATATTTATATCGTAATAAAATATGTAATATATGTGTTCGATAAATATTTCATCCGCGATTATTTTGCATAAATCTGACAAAATTTTATTCATTTTGCTACTTTCATTCTACTACCTTTATTTTCATCTTGTTGCGATTTTATCGAAAAATGTTTTATGCTTTTATCTTGAATAATTTTATTTCCATATACATATATATATATTTTTTTTTACAAAACTTTATACGATTTACTTTTTATACGTTTTCTTGAAATAAAAGTTCTTTTTATACTTTTATCCGTTTACGATTGATCACGCAACGAAGCAATTTATTTCTTATTATCGATACATGTTAAAAAAAAAAAAAAAATTAGAAAGGCTGGTTTTTTTCCATCAATTAATT